AAAGCTGTGGGTACATTCGTGTGTCAGGGGATGTGTGCGGCAAATTGCACGACGGAATCCATGGCGCTTCTGACGCCCATCATTGGGCCACAGGTTTTAAATAAAGAACAGCTCAGATCAGATTAATGGATCAGCTTATTCTCCTAGCCTATCTTACTTCAAATTTGAGTCCAAATGATAGGAGGTGGAGTCGTCCATATCGCCAAGAGCTTCACCGCGCCCATTTGCCGCGCACGTTCCCGGGCCCGCGACTGTTCAATCCCCCATCAGAGAGTGATGAGAAAGTTCAGATAATTGAGGGGTATTTGTGCGAGATTCAAGCTCTCCGCCATGCATGTGGCAGTATCACCTGGCGATGCCTTAATCGTGCACACTAGATGTGATAATGGATTTCTGTTGCTATTCCAATTTTTTGTAAGAAAAAAAACGAAGACAATCCTGCATAAGGCCACTTCAAAACTAGGCACAAAAAACAGTGTGTAATAACTCGGAATTATTGTTAGGAAAGCTATGCGAATGGTGGTCAGCGGGTTGTCCGGGTACCAGCCCACCCGACCGAATGCTCTAAAGAAGCAAAAGTCGATAGCTACATTGTATACATGATGCTAAGCATAATAGATTGGAAGCAAGGTGCAAGTTCGAAGGCAATCAGCGAGTGAATAGTTCACATCACATTCTATCAATCTCAAATGTCAATTACGTAATTGACAGCTTTAAGCCACCAGAAGTGATTCATTTCAGTGTTCAACGAGCATGAAGTAGCTCTACCTGTCTTCTACGAGGTACTCAGCAACGGATTCAATGTTCAGAGTGTAATTCTCATAATCACCAGCTTTTTTGTGGTCGCTTTCCTGTTACTCATTTGCTGTGTCGTATGTTGTAGCGTCGGAGTACAATGGAAGAACAACTTCAAATGTGAGCTTCAATTCAAGTACATATCTACTAATGGAATTGTAAATGACTAGAATTCCATAGCTAAACAAAAATTAATTTCTGCAAGAAATAGCAGCAAAGACCTTGTAGTGTTTGGCAGCGTTCCAAGATCACGTGTATAGCTTTTCTGAGTGAAGGCGAACTGTCTCAGGAAAAGGATTCATATAAAGACTGGCAAAATTCCTCTATAGAAGCACCATATGAGAACTGAGTTCGTAATGATGAAGTAATATAGCGTTTACCTCGAAATTTATAGTCGGCATAGTTGTAATTGTAATCAGCAGTCTGTGTCGTTTACAACTTTGAGTCATTCCCCAGTCTTGCTTATTAATAGAAATACGATATTACGAAAAAAGCCATATAATCGAAATTCTCGAGATTTCAAGCTTTACTAATGAATTACTCCAAGCTAATGAGTATGAGGCAGCAACTGCTTTTTTGACGTAACTTAAAGAAAGTGGGACATTGATGAATGTTGGCTACCACTTGTTAGCAAACTCACCTTGCAGTTTTAGAAGCGCTTCTAAAAAATAGAATTTTTTAGGGATTTAGTTGAAACGCTGACCAATTTCTGTGTAGATTTTTATAGTTACAACATTCTTATCAAGCTAGTGGAGGTAGACATTGTAAGGGCGTTTGATCTGTGGAATCTATATACGTACTGTGG